AGTACACTCACATTGTCCTGCAACCACCACCACCATCCAAGTCCGCAACTTTTTCATCTTCCCCAACTGAAGCTCTATACCTATTACACACTAACTCCCCATTCTCTCCTCCTGCCAGCCCATTCTATTTCCTGTCTCTATAGTTTTGATTATTCTAGGCATCTCATATAAGTAGAATCATATAGCATTTATTTCTTTATGACTGGCTTATTTTACTTAGCATAATGTTTTCTAGGTCCATCCATGTGTCAGAATTTCTTTCCTTTTTAAGGCTGAATAATATTCCATTATACACATATACTATATTTTGCTTATCCATTCACCCATTGGTGGACACTTGGGTTGCTTCTAAATATTAGCCATTGTATATAATGCTATTACAAATACAGGTGTACAAATACCTGTTTGAAACTCTGCTTTCAATTCTTTTAGGTTTATACCCAAAATTGAAATTCTGGATGATAATATCCCCATTTAAATTGTCATTATTTGTATAAACATTTATTTATACAAATGAAGTGGAGTCTTCCCTCCACTACAAAACCACGCATTTCTTGAGGGCAAGAACATGTGGATAAATTCTTTGATCTCTCCAGATTTAGCCCTACAACAAATGCTAAAAGGAGCCCTTCAGGCTGAAATAAAAAGACACTAACCAGTAACTTGAATCCACATGAAGAAATAAAGAATACTGCTAAATGCAACTAAGTGGGTAAATATAAAAGACAATATAAATGGATTTTTGTTTATAACTCTTCCTTTATCTTATTTTAAAAAAACAACTGCATAAAGTAATAACACAAAACTGAGCTTATGGGTTTATAATGTATGAAATAATACAAACAATATTTGTATGGAAATAATAGCATAAGGGGGAAATGGAGCAATATTGGAGCAAAAATTTTGTATATTATTGAAATTAGGTCAGTATTAATCTAAATTATGTTATTTTAAATTTAGATGTTAATTGTAATGCCCAGGGCAACCACTAAGAAAATAACTAAATATATACAATTAAAAGAAACAGGGCAGATCTGGTGATTTAGTGGATGAGATTAAGTTCAATACTTTTAGGACACTGCCATTTTAAAATTCAATATTCAAACTCCTGGGACAGGGTGTCAATTTGTTTTATTGTGGGTCATGCCCACTACTGTGGTCAGGAGAGTAGGGTTTCAAGATTGGCAGACCACTCGCATGGCATGGGAGTGACAGTAAAGGCATTTTCCCAAAAGAGTGGATTTGGGGCACAAAGAAATACGTGCTGACCACTAAATGTGATAACCAGAATTTTGATTAATCAAAATGGTTTATTTAATGTGATACCAGATAATATATAGAATATACTATACTATAAACACAATTATGTTTGTAAATGGGGCAATGTGGATTAATAGTTATTAAGTATGGAGTTAGGGAGTAGGATAGTGTGCCATATTCTAGAATAAATTGTGAAATACTGAAATAGAAGATGGGTTTCTCAAAGAAGTTTGAAACTGTAAAGTCTATTTTTGTTTCCTAAACACTATAGTAACTCTAGTTTTAAGACAAATGTGACATTTAACATTAAATTGGTATCAAACTAAATACGTTGTAATTCATTTAAAAAATTAAAAACATAGTTAAAAGAGAAATGATAGATTGGAAAAAATATTTGCAATACATACTACATATTAAGGAGTTGCTTTCTATAGTTACTATTTATAATATATAAGAAATTCTTACATGATGAAAAGAAAAAGACCAGTAACTCAAAAGAAAAATGAGCTGAATGTATGAATAAGAAATTTACAAAGCAAAAAGTCCTAAGGGTATAAAAAAAGAGAAAACATGAGCAACTTCACTCGTAGTCAGTGAAATACTAATTAAAGGAACAAACTATCACCATTCGCTTATTAGAATGGCTAAAATTACGCAGAGCAAATTGTTACAGCCTTGTAGATGCCAATCTATTAACATTTTAAATAGACCAGTCTCACATCTGGTCACCATTCCCTCAGAAATTAAAGTACCAGAGCATTTGGCCATATATACAAAAACATTTAGCACAACATTGATAGCAGTGGCAATTTTTTTAAAACACAAGTTGAATGTTATGGCTAGGGAAACTCTTGAATAAATTTTGGTACATTCATGCTGTGGAACATTATCCAGCCTCTAAAATAAAAGAATGAATTTGAGCTATACCAGTTTAATCAGAAGAATTTTTATGACTTATTGTTTAATGAGAAAAGAATCAGAGAAGTATATATAATATCTCATTTTATAAAACAATAACAAAAAATTCAGATAGATTGGTAGATACATATATGTTAGCATGGAAAAAATAACCTCTTAAATAGTTGAGAGTAAGGAAAAGTGGTAAGGGGGAGGTTCAGGTACAAAAAAAAGACAGGAAAAGGGGGTGTCTAAAGAAAACACAGTATGCATGAAATGATTCCATCTGTGCATATATGCATAGACATATGTATAAAGAGATGCATGAAAATATGATTACCAAAACATTACAGTGGTTATTTCAGTATGTGGGGGTTTATTTTCTTCCTTATATATTTGTGTATTTGAATTTTTACAATAAGCACACAATTTATATTCAACCAAAAAATGGTCACTTATTCTAAAATGTGTGTGACTGATTGCCTTGGGGGATGATGATGAGACAAAAACACACCCTGCCTTGTAAACCCTGACAGTTAGTGGGACTATGGGAGGACAGAGCCAGCCATTGCATACAGCTGAAAACTTTGTGAGGGCTGTAACAGGGGCAAACAGTATTGGGAAAGAGACATGAATTGATCCCACCGATCTGACTTGGAAGATCTGGGAGAACATCATTAAAGGAGAAGGCAGCTGAGTTTGATCTTGAAGGCTTGGGAGCAATTCAACAGGTAAAGATGGCACTAAAGAGAAATCCAGGCAAAGGGAACAGAGTGAGCAAAACAAGCAGAGACATTGAAAACACACGGTAGATTCAAAGACTGGCAATTGGCCCACCTTGTTATAACTGGAACACAGGTGTTGAGTGGAAAGAAGATTGGAAAGGTAAGCTGCTTCCCAACTGTGACCATATTACAACTGCACAGGAGTGTTACTACAGGTTTGGGAGCACGGTGAAGGGGAGAGGATTTTTGCTTGTTTTGTCAGGAGAGTGCGATTCTTATATCTGTGCTGGTGGTAGGGAGAGACAAGAGGCAAGAAAACCAGCTAAGGCACTATTAAAATGACTCATCCCCAAATGATCAAAGTCTAACAAGAGCAGCAGTGTGGGCATGCAGAAGAGAACAGTTTCCAGAAACATTTCTGAGGTAAATATGGCAGGCTTAGGTGGAAGATGAAGACCTTAGTGCCTGACAACTGAGGGGTTGGGGATACTCCAATCTGAGAGAAACGACATGGGGATTGGACATGGGGACCAAGTTGGAACAAAGATCCCCATATCTTGCAGACTGTAGAGGGAGTGATGAGAATAACAGGCCAAGAGCCTAGGGGAATTTCAAAGTAAAATAAAAGTCCTACAGAGATCAGGACAAATCCTTAATCTAAAACTACAGAACCGAAGATCTGGTTCTGGACTCTGAAGTCAGCTGTCCCAGGGAAAAGATGGACCCACAAGCTTTCTTAACTCAAGCAGTCCCTAGGGAGGAGATAAAATTAGACCTCCTTAGTTTCTGCAGGTTCCAAAAGAAAGAGTCTGGATGTATAGAATGAGAAATTTGGAAAGAGTACTGGGTAAAATCTCAGACATAACTCATCCAAAAATCTTGGCTATTCTTTCTTCCTCTTGTTTTCCCCCTCGGTAGAATCCTTTCTGTGAAAACAAGTGTTTGGGTACTATGGTGTGTGAAACATCCAAGAATGTTGCTACAGTCTTGTTGGAATGGGGTCAGCCTGACCTGGCTTCCCCATTACCACTCTGTATAGCCAAGGATTTTCCTCAAGGCAGCCATAAAAATGTGGGATTTCTCAACAAGCATAATAGGTCTGAGATTTTAAAACAAAATAAATGAAAATATGAAAAGTCTAAGTGGGTCAGGCCTGTTGGCTCACCACCTCTAATCCCAGCACTTTGGGAGGCCAAGGTGGGAGGATCACTTGAGGCCAAGAGTTGGAGACCAGCCTGGGCAACATAGTGAGAACCCGTCTCTACGAAATATATACATATATTTTAATTAGCCAGGAGTGGTGGTGCCTGTCTGTAGTCTCAGCTACTTAGAAGGCCGAGGCAGGAAGACTGTTTGAGCCTAGGAGTTTGAGTCTGCAGTGAGCTATGATGGCGCCACCGCAGTCCAGCCCTGGTGATAGAATTAGACACTGCCCTAAAAAAAAAAGAAAAAAGTCTAAGCGGTTTCTCAGGACCCTTCCCAGATTTCTCACTCTAGACTTCTCCTTAAGGGTGTCTGAAACACAGCATCTCGCACATTTTTAAGGGGCGGACTGTGGGCTGGGCGTGAATATCGTGTTTGTGGCCTCCTTGTAGCATTCCTAGAAAAAGTAATGTTCTGGCCTTCTGATCTTTCTGATTACAAAATAAATACAAACTCAACGTAAAGAATTGGGAAACCCCAGAAAGCATAAAATAAGAAAACTCATTGGTAACTCCATACCAGAAACAAAAATGAGCATTTGCGGGGAATCCTTCCAGTCTCGTGGCTGGGGCCGTTTGGGACCGGAGCCCGGGTCTCCAGGGCCCCAGACCCCGCGGCCGCTGGCCCGAGGCCGGGCAGGGGCGTCCACCGCGGGAGGCTCCCCGAGGAGGCGGTGGGAGGCGGGGCTGCCCCGGGACTGTCAGGCCAAGCGAGGAGAAAGACGCGGGGAGTTGGAGGAGCGCGGCGCGTGGGTCCGCGGTCCCGGAGCCGTCCGGCCGGGGCTGGCGCCACGCGGGCGGGCCGGGGAGGCGCGGCGGGCGCTGCCCAGCCAGTGCCCGGCCGGGGGCGGCCCCGCGCGCCACCGCGCTCCGCTCCGCTCCGCCCGCGCCGCGGCCTCCACGACCAGCTCCCGGCGCGCGATGGGCGCGGGCCGGTGCCTCTGCCCTGGCCGGCTCCTGGCAGCCCCGCGAGCCCCACAGACGCCCGGGGAACGGGGACCTCCCGCGGACAGCCTCGGGCTTGGCGCTTCTCGGCCGTGAGGTGAGCGCGGCGCCCCGGAGGATCCCAAATCGGGATTTCGTAGGACCTCTCTGTGGACACTGTGTATCCACGAAACTTCAAACACTTAATTACAAAGTGAAAAGGGGGAAGGGGCTTTTTCTTCTCTCCTCTCTGGAATCTGGGCGGTTTCTTTGGAAACGGTAAGGAAGCTCAGAAACTGGGGGCGAACGTGGGACCCCTCATCGGGGACGCGAGTGGCAACTTCAGAAGAGAGAGGAGAGCACTGGAGTTTGGTGTGAAGAGGGGCCCGTGGCTGTTCGCTGAGTAAGAGGCAGTGCTGAAAAGGAGAGATCCTTCCCAGAGCCTCCTCACTGAGCAAGCTGTCCCCAAATCTGCCTTGCCTGGGCGCGTTCGCCCCCCGGGTGCAGAGTGGCGGGCAGGATGGCTCCCCTTATGGGGATTGCGAAGTCCGCGTAGGAGACAGCTCTGTTGCGCGGCGCTCCGTCGAGCTGCCTGGGAGCGGCAGCATCCTTTCACCCTGGCCAGCAGCCCTTTCCAAGTTAGCTCTATGGGAAACCGGAGGCCTCTAGTTGGAATTCTAGGTATCCCTGTGCTACTCCAGAATACGAACCTTGAGGTTTTTCTTTAAAATCGAGTTCTGTTGTTAATATTTCCAGATAGAAATCTGCAGGAGGAGAAGTCGTGGCATGGTATAACCCTTTGTTGATATTCTAGGTACATGCATGTGTGAATCATAGGTAAATTACCCCCTGGCCTATAATGGCTTTCCTGATGTAGTTCTTTAAACCAGGATTTAGAGGATAACGTTACATTTTTGCATCCCTAGGTAAAAGGGAAAGATTTTCACGTGGGAGTTAAGAACTGGAAACATTGTAGATATAGTTGTGTTAGGCAGCAAGGCCTGCAAAGAAAAAAGAATATTTCTCCACCGATGGTTCAGTTCTGCACAGAGGTCTCCCAGCAGGCGGGGTAGCAGCCAGGCTTGCAAAACAGTAGCTTCTTTCCTTGCTGCAGATAAATGGCTGAGGAAGCACTTGCATGTGGGTTAAGGTCATTTGAATCTGGATAGTAAAGTGCTTTGGAAGGCTTTGCTTGAGTTAGGGATCTCTTGGGAGGGGTGGCGGTGACTCTGTGGTCCCCTTTGCCAGCCTAATTCCACTTTAGAGCCACCACTGTCTCTGGAGTGTTCCCTCTGTTTCCCCTTCTCTTCCATCCCCAGCTTTTAGCTTCCCCAACAAAGTCTAGAGTTGAGCCTGGTCAGAGGCAGAGTTATGATAGGCTGGGGATAGAGAACCTCCAGGCTGGTGAAGGCACAAATGTGACCTAGGAGAGCCCCCAGGGGCTGGGTGGGATGAAACAACTTCCAGCCTAGAAGGCTCTCAAGAGAGTGGAAGAATAAGAATTGAGGGAAAGGGATTCTCTGGAAAGGAGAATGGGAATGGAACAGTTTGTTTCCTGTTGAGCATTTTAATATTTCATTTTTTGTGTTTGACACCATAAGGGCGTTTCCAAATGGGATAGGGGAAGGACGAGGCCTTCTCTGGAAAGTAACCCCCTCTCCCTGAAGTCCCATTTTATTCCATTCCTGCGTAGGTTTTCAGAGAGTAATTAGGGGCAGGGGGAAAGGAGAAAGAAGCTCAAAGGCTCTGACATGTCACGGTAATAGTAAAATATGGACTGACTTGGGCCATGAAGTTAGATTTGAGAGTTGAAAGGAATGTTCTACATTTAGTTAAAAATCAGAGCCTTTATTTTGCAGAACTGTGTTGAGAACCACAACATTCATGTTTGGTTGCTGATGAATTTTGCCTGATAAAGGATGCAGATCCCTATCTCACTTTTTTCCTCCAGCATTGTATTATGAAAAATTTTAGACATTTAGAATAGTTACCTAGCTCTCTTTTTATAGACTTAAAATTATCTTAAAACATAAACTTGTTAATAAGAACCAGAGTTTAGCATCTAGACATATGTGATCTGGTCCTGGACAGAGCTTGAATCCATAATAAGATGGTTAGGAAATAGATGCGTGAAGGATATGAAAAAATATTTTGAGGAAAAAAAATATGGATCATATTCTTCTGACTCTCCCAATTGCCTCCTTTTTCCCATTCATAAAACATTAGTTGAATTATATCACTCTCATGCTTAATCCCCTCCAGCGGCTTCCCCTCACACTTTGAGTAACATCCAGCTCTCCTCCAGGGCTTACCGAAGCTGGGTGTGGTCTGGCCTGTTTGACCTCGTATTCCGTCCCTCTCCCCTAGCTTACCGTGCTCCTTGCTCTTCCTGCTGCCTGAACACTCTTCCCTCAGATACAGGCACTGCTTTCCTCAACTCATTCAAGTCGCTTTTTAGATGTGACCTTCTCAATGAGACCTTCCCTGCCCACTGAATCTTCAGCAGCCCATTGTCACTCTGACTCTGCTGTATCCTGCTTCATGGCACTTGGCACTACCTGACACTATGCAGTTTATCTGTTTCCTTGTTAATTGTGCATATCCATCACTCTGATATAAACTCCATAAGGACAAGGAATTTTTTGTTTTATGTATGGCTGTGTTCCTGTTTGGCATATTAATAAGCAATTAATAATTATTGAATTAATTAATAATTAAGTGACACAAACAATGCCTAATGGGAATTGATGCCCATAAGGGTGGCAGAACCCTTGGTAAAATACTAGAAGTCCTTTTAGGTAATTGGAGTTAATCAATATTTTACAGGTCAATGATGATACTGGAGACCAATGGCCTCTTTTATCCTCACAGTGCTTCTAACCTGAATCCGGAGCTGGAAGCTGGGCTGGTTTTGACAAACCCACATCCCAAACAAGATATTAAATATATCCACCCTAGAACTCTCTCTATGCCTCTTTCTAGTCAACCCCACCATCCAGAAGCAGCAAACTTTGCTCTGATTGCTGTGATCATAAATTAGTTTTGCTGGTTCCTAAACTTCATATAAATGTAATTACACAGTATGTACTCTTGTGTCTAGCTTCTTTTTTTCAACATAATGTCTGTGAGATTCATCCATGTTGTTCAGTACATCAGCAGTTCATTTCTTTTTATTCCAAGGTAGTATTCATCGTATGAATATAGACCATGTGTTTATCCATTCTCCTACTGATGGACACTTGGGTTGTTTCTAGTTTGGGGCTGTTTTGAGTAAAGCCGCCATGAACATCCTTATAGTGTCTGCCTTATTTTGATTCCAGTGTGTTTTATTTGCAAATCTTCCTTGTGCCTCCAGTGCTGAGAGAAGTCCGTGACTGACCTGGCAGGCTGCCTGCAGCCCAGCCAGCACCCTCTCTGGACAGCTCCACTGGGAGCTGCCCTGCCTCCCACTTTGGAGGGAGAGCACTTGGAAAATGAGCGTCTATGCATTCAGGGGAGCCCTGGGATACACTTTAAGTACTTTTAGATCCTTGAAAGAGACCCTGTAGAATGCATGCTGCCATTGCTGTTGTATTTCCCTGCCCCCCTCAGTTTTCCATTCCAATACAAGCTGACTCTAATCAGCCTCTGAGCACTATGCTACTGAGCAGTTTAAATATTTATAAGCAAGAGTCTTGTTCAGAGCCTGATAAAATATTTATGTGTTTCCATGGGGCATTGGTTTCCATCTAGACTTCTCAAGGTGTTTTTCTGAGATGCTTGTCATAATCGTGAAGTACTCAGAGACAGATGATACAGCCTGAGAACACCCGTGTGTTACTGAACCCCACCTTGCAGAGCCCCCTGCATTCTTGGGGCAGAGAAGAATGAGCACATGAAGAAATGGGCACTAATTGTGTCTGGATCAGGAGAAAGACTGCATGTGTTCATGAAAATGGCTTCAGAAAAGAAAGGGCCTGTTAATATAGTACCCATAAAGGTGTGACTCCTGAGAGGATAATGGAAAGAACTTGTTAGAATGAGGAGGGATCAATTCATGGGATGGGATGCATTCATTCCAAACAGAAGAATGGAGGAAGCAGCATTGTGAACAGCATGGTTCCTTCGACACTGATGTGGACGAGGTCTATGCGAGACAATTATGCCGAGTGCTAGAATGAAGCTATCACAACCCGCTATTGGAGTGTGTGGGGAGGAGTGGAGGCTAGCCAGGGTTCCCAGGTGGAGGGCAGAGAGCTATTCCAGGAGGTCATTGTTTTCCTCCAAGAAAGAAGTGGCTTTTGAGTCAGGCTCTAAAGGAGGTGTGCCTCTTTGACTGGCAGCTGTGGTGTGGAAGAGCCTTTCCAGAGAGACAGAATAACTGGAGAGGATGTCTGAGTCTGCGCCACAGTGCCAGTGTGGTGTAAGGTCAGAGGAGGGTGAGGGGAGGTCAGGGCCGGGTTGTATTAAGAGATAAAGCAGGAGTCCACTTGCCCAAGGCCTCTTGGGAGTGGCTCTGTGTCATAGTCCTCAAATTTGGCTCAGACTAAATCTCTTTAAAATTAAAAAAAAAAAAAAAAGAGAGAGAGATAAAGCAGGAAGCTAAAGGCCACAAGAGTATGGACTTTAATCTGTTTGTCAGAGGGAATCATGTAACTTTTGACCAGAGATTGGGTCAGATTTTGAGCAGTTTGGGGGAGGAACATCCAGGTCAGGCAAGACCTTGAGGTATGTCTATGTCCAGGGCACTTCTAGAATATTCTGCTATGTCCAATCCAGTCTAAAGACTCTGCAGTCTAGGCTAAGAGAGGTAAACCAGAGGAGGTCAGATTCATGGGATACACTCACTCCCAGGACTGGCCGGAGGCTGGTCTCACCAACCACTCCCTGCCCCCAGCACACACACACACAGAGTGCTCCCAGTCAGACGGAGCCCCAGGCTGCGCACTGCATCCTCCAGTCTCCTTCATGACTAGTTTGCCTCAGTGGGGGAGTTGTGAGGATCATGGGTGGGTGGTCCTGTCTGTGAATATCAATCCGTATAACCTCAACCCCCTGGTCACCTCTCTAGATGCAGCCTGGTGGCCTGGTCAAGGCAGGCCTGGGTCCCATGGGGATGGTCTGCTAGCCTCGTTGCTT